ATGATGTTAGACGATATTCTAGGAGATGAGTCCTATGCAACCATAAAACGTCGCGCAATGGATAGAGAAGGATGGAGGAAATGGATGCCTCGAACCTGCCCTAGGGCAGAACACTAATGATGATGATTAATAATTTAATAGTAACAAATATTATCAGTTTAAATGATATTGATGAGCAACAGTCTGTTCGAACTTTGAGTACTGAACATCCACGTTTTATGTGGATGAGACAAATTGAAATACTCTTTTTTCATATGTCTATTAGTGATATGGAAATGGCAAAAAAGAATATGATTGATGAATGTTGTAAATTTTATTATAATGATGAAATTGAATTAAAACGTATTCAAACATTTTGGAATGATTATCATCCATCTAAAGCTATTTGGTGGTATACAAGTGATTCTTTTTTATATCGTCTATTGAATAGAGCATTTCGAACAGAAAATATTCTTTTACTCAATGCATTTCGATTTTTTATGATTGATTTACGAAATCAGTTGTCTGAACTTTACCAAACTCAATATACAAATAATACACAAATATTTTATGTCTATCGTGGACAAGGTATGTCTGTTAAAGAGTTACAAAAGATTAGAGATAATATTGGCGGATTTTTATCGATAAATACATTTTTTTCCACAACAGTATCATCAAGTCTAGCTGCTGATTTTGCTGGTGATTCATTTAGTCAATTAATATACGAACGTTCAGTAGTATTTCAAATGGAAATTGATCCAAGGATATGTCCAAGTAGAAGTCCTTTTGCAAATATTAGTAAACATAGTTCAATGCCAAGTGAAGATGAAATATTATTCTCAATGGGAACAATTTTTCGTATTGATTTAGTAGAAGAATTAGAAATAGGTGGTTTGTGGATTGTTACATTGACAATGACTAATGAATATGATAAAAATTTTGATAGATTATGTGATTTATACCAACAAAATTTGAATGAAAAACCAGAATATATTATAATTGGTGATCTATATATTAGTGCGGGTCAATATGAAAAAGCTGAACTACATTATCTTAAGCGTTTATATGTTCCAGACGTTGACATTGGTTTGATTAATAGACAATTGGGTTATATCTACTATTTAGAAGATGAGAATGATTTAGCTAAAGCATATTATAAATCAGCAATAACACGTTTTCAAGAAGTGAACAATTATGAAGAATTAATTAGTACATATTGTGATCTGGCAATGATGCATACAGACTGTGGAAAGTATAAACTAGCATTAAAAATCTTATATAAAGCAAAAACAATTTGTAATTTCAGTTCAAATTTTATCTAATATTTATGAAAAATTAGGCTGGTTATATTCATCTATGAAAAATTATTCTAAATCATTAGTATATTACAAAAAACATCTAACACTAGTCAAATGCATATTACCCGCTAATCATCCAGATTATGCTAAAGCGTACAATAGAATAGCAAATGTTTACGAAAAAATTGGAAAATTAGAATTTGCATTAAAATATCATGAGAAAGCATTTGTAAATCAAGATAAATATAAATCAAAATTTCTTGCAAATACTTATAAATCAATTGCAAAAATTTACTTTGCTAATAATAATTACTTACAAGCTATTGAACATTTTGATAAAGCACTTAAAATTCATATGAACAATACAATGAAATTAGATGAAGATACGATTATTGATACTTACAGAAGACTCGGTCGTACTTATATTCAAGAAAATAATTTAGATATGGCATTAGAACAATATAAAAAAGCTTTATCTTTTAATTTACATAAAGCATCAATTTTTGTCGATATTGGCCATCTTCACAGACTAACAGGTGATGGTAAACTAACAATGACAAATATGATCAAAGGATGGAATTGTTATCGAAAATATCCGTCTTTTAGTGAAACTGATATTAACAATATTATTTATATATATGATACAATTGGACAATTACATCAGAAAAAACAAAACTATTCAACTGCTTTAAAGTATTACTTTTCAAAATTAAAAATTGAAAAACTTCTCATTTCATCCGCATCAAAATCTTTATTTACCACTTATCATCGAATTTGTATGTGTTATTATGATTATGGAAAGTATCGAAAAGCGTTAAAACACTATTTCCTCGCCTTAAAATATCAGACTATATCGAAATTACCAGTCCGAGTATATGTATTTTTAGCAAAACTTTTAATTAAATTAAAACAGTATCGGATAGCACTAAAAGTTCTTCACAAAGGTCTCACATTGATAGACGAAGAAAATGACGAAGATACAACAATTTACTCTTGTTTAGGTGTTTTATACTTTAAAATGGAAAAATATCATATCTCATTAAAGTGTTTTGAAGAAACGCTGAGAATTCAATTGAAATGTTTACCTCAATATCATTCAGAATTTTCGGTAACTTATCAAAATCTTGGTGAATTATACAAATGGAAAATGGATTACGTAGCAGCATTGAATATTTTTAAACGGGCACGTGAAAACGCGTTAATGTTGTCAAATGAGTCCACGTTTATTAGAAAAGTAGAGAAAGAAATTGAAGATCTAAAGACTATGCTGAATTCTCAACCAATATAGTAGACTGGACTGCACACACCATTTATGTGATATGAGTAAATAATGTGAAATTGTTCGAAGATTCATAAACTGAAACCACACCG